TCTAAATCAAGAGCATTACCGACACCTGCAAAACCTGTCCAACTTGCTGTAAAAAACGACAAGGACTCACTAGCAAAACCTACCAAGTCTGAAGCTTCTGTAACAACAAACCAACTCAATATAGCAAAACCTACTAAGATTGTGGGATCAATGACAACCAATCCACTCTTCACGGCATCTAAATCTATCATTAGAAAAAAAATCTTCTAGTGAACTTGCCTGATAGTAGCGTTATAATTAAACATTGTGAAAGTAGGGGAATAAAGTTGATCTCATGTAATCCAACTACCAAGCCTCTTGGACCTGATGAAGTTCAAATAAATCATACTTCGTTTAGGTTATGTGTTCCAGCCGATGAATATAACAAAGTCATGTCCACGTCAAACTGGCCCAGTTCAGTTATCATACGAGAATGGATATTTAACTGAAACAACACCAAGTCTGATAACGTTTTATCCAGTGCTTCAACAGTTTCAACAAAAAATGATACAAACCTCCCCGAGAGCTCCGCAAACAACAACATTGCCAATCCAGAAAGCTGACTATGTGAACCAAATGTAAAGAAAAGTGATAAGATATTTGATGAAAGTAACATTTTTTTAAATAATTCTACATTTGATAGAAATAATAATTCTCTAAATTATAATTTTAATTTTGATATTGATTTAAATTATGACTGCATTCTGTATAATCAAGTTTCCATGTACTTTACTATTGAACAGTTTAAATCAACGTTGTACACTAAATTAAATAACAATAACAATTTTTTCATTGTTCATATAAATTGTAGGAGCTTATTTGCTCATATATTTGATATAACTCAATTTGTAAATATTCTTAATTCATTTAATCACATAGTATGTCTGAGTGAAACTTGGTTGAGTGATGGTGAGGATTATAGCTCACTAAAAACAACTTTTCCTTGTCACAATTTAGTTAATAACAATAGGATATATAAGAAAGGTGGCGGAACTGGTTTTTTGATTAGAAATAATTTAATTTATGAAATTGTAGAGAAAATTAGTCATAATTTCAATGATTTTGAATGGAGTGGTATCAAATTAGTTTGCAATTCCAAACCCTGTTATTACATATGCATTTATCGCCCGCCTAGTGGTAAGTTAGACGACTTTTTTAATAGATTGCAGGAATTTTTAAATAACCTTCTTTCTACTAATTTTAAAACTGAATGTTATATAATAGGAGATTTCAATATTAACTTGGCTGTTAACAATAATGCTTCTCAGACGTTTTTAGACATTCTGGCTGGTTTTGATCTATACCCTATCATAAATCAATCTACCAGAATCACTGACTCAACCTCATCCATCATTGATAATATTTTTACAAATCATAAAAGCAATGTCTTTACAAAGGGTATACTACTGGTAGATATCTCTGATCACCTTCCAATTTTCCTTGGCTTACCTAATAAGTTTACATCTATTTCTTTCAATTTTAAACGCAATTGCTTAAAAACTAGGCTAATCGACCCCCACAAAATTGCCCTAGTTAATGAGAATTTAGCTGTAATTAAATGGGAACCTCAGTATGGAGGTGATCTTGATTCTGAATACGATGGTTTCTTCACGAAATACATGGATGTTATAAATTTCAATTGTCCTGTTATATGCACGAAAAATCGTTTTAGAAAAAATTGGATGAACATCAATCTCTACAATAGTTATATGGATAAAAATAAACTCTACCTCAATTACCTTCAAAACCCAACGTCATGCAATAAAACTTTGTATGCTAGATCCAGAAATGATTTTATTAAATTGAAAAGAATTGTAATAAAAAAGTTTTATTCAAATAAATTTGAAAAATGTACCAATACCAGAGAAAAATGGAAAATTATGAATGAAATATTAGGAACAAATAAAGGTAACACCAATCTTTTTCAGGATGTTTCAGATATGAACTGTAAATTAAATATAGTTAACGGTTTCAACAGTTTTTTCATTCAACAAGGCACAATATTAAATAATAATTTCAAAAATACTTCAAATGTTACTAACCTTGATGTCATGCAAAACCAAATTAACTCTTTTTATGTAGAAAAAGCATCTCCTGATGAAGTGGTGGCAGTTGTCCAAAAACTAAAAATTAGTAATACTTATGATTGTGATTTTCTGTCCTCCAATTTAGTAAAAGAGACTATAAAATATATAGCTGGGCCTTTATCTATGCTATTTAATTATTCTATCAACATAGGTAAATTTCCTAGCCGCAGAAAATGCA